CCAGGCCCCAGTCGGTTGATACCCTCTGACCGGATCCGCAGGGGTTGATGGGGGGTTGGGTTTGCCCCGATGAGTATCGTCGACCCATGTTTCGTCGACCGGTCCGGTGTTCGGCGGGATTTGTGGTGACCGGTGTGGAAAAGCCTCGGGGCTGGTCTCCAGAAGTGGAAGAGTGAGAGAAATGGAATGGTCAGACATGGATGAGGTGAATCCAAAATGGGTGTTCTTAATCACGTGTTTGTATGTTTTTGTCATTATTGGACTCGTCTAGAAAAGGAAACATATAGAATGCATATCAATATTGAATATAGTGGGTGTGGAAACCAAAAAGGTTTGCCCAGCCAAATTATCACTTTGGCTACTTACATGTTTGTGCCAACCTATAGGTTTGCTCAACCCATTTTATTGCTATTCCGACGGGCCCATTTTAGATGAGATTATGAATTGACGAGAATGGATTTGTTAAGCACATGTTTACGATGTTATGACTTGAAGCACCTTTGCCCATTTGATGTTCACCAATTTTGGATCACATGAGTGTGGTCGACCTCTATTCTCGGTAGCAACGGGGATGGCAAATGTATGGAACTATGGAACAGAGTCACCCAAAATGGCTACACTCTTGGAGACGGTGATGGCAGACATCTCCTGGGAACCCCTGGGCGGTGGCGACGTCTTACCAAGTCTTGGCGGTGGCCTGGAGCGAGCCGCGGGGGCGACGAATGGCACCGACGCGGCAGGTTCTGGAAGGAAGGTGGCTGCAAGAATGGGAAGGATTGCAGGCACTGCCATCTGTGCCCCGAGGGTGAAATCCGGCGCAAGAAGAAGATGAAGCATGAAGCTTGGCTGATCCAGAATTTAGACTCTTGATTCATAAATCCATCACCCGCCCAATTGGATCGTTTCCACCTCTTCGTAATATGCAGGGTGTTAGGATATCAAGAGCCTACATTGGTCTAGTGCTTGCTGACTTGTTCGGGGCAACGCAAGAGCGAAGAGTTTTAACGAAGGGAGCGGACCAGTTCGAAGCGAGGAACCCCGAACCCCTCGATCTAGTGCAAGGGTGGGCGGACATGATCTAGAAAAGGTAGAAAAGTGATTCTGATTCCCGGTTCTATGTATATAAACTTGGTTATAATATATGTAAATTTGTGCATGTCTAGTACATGTCCCCGGTGTTTGAGCTTAGACGGATCTCTCGGCGTCTTGTTGTGTGTGCTCTCCACACGTGGCAAACGTGTACCGTTCACGAGCTTTTCACCAAGCGTTTGCGGAGTTTGCGGAGGACGCAGCCATCCAGAGCTTTTCACCAAACAGCTATCCAGGGTTAGATTCGGTGAGCTACTCCGATATTTTGGTGCTTTAAGTTCCGGCCCTGAGGAAGAGATGAGAATGCTCAAGCGCCAAACCAATGCCAGCAGCAGCTTGACTGAAATTCGGCTGTGCGAAGCCAAGCTGCACACTCATCCCTTCCTTCGTGTGGCCTTGCCTCATGTCCCGTAGTGGTTGGCTCCGGCACAGGTGACGAAGGTTGTTGTGCCACCGGAGTATCTTCCATGGACTGCATGTGTGTTTTTCCGTGAGCTGGTGTTTTGAAGGAGCTCTTCATATGATCGCCCGATGTCAATCTAGTAGTTGCATGGAAGGCTCATTCGTGTGCACACAAGGTTGCATATTCGCACATGGTCGCACTGTGCAGTTTTGCATCACATTTGCTGAAGACTGACACCATTAACCTGTTAAACAAGTTGAGAATTCGTATTCTATGTTTGTTCTGTAGTGGTCGCTCCTTTTGTGCCCACTCCGAGTTGAGATGACCACACCCACGCGCACTCACATGCACAGGCGCATTGGATCAGCAGTTCCTGCAGATGCAGCTGCTTCATCAATGGCCCGGGGCCCTTGACTGAGCCGTTTGGCGCCTCGCGACGGGCGGGTCGCGGGAGACGCGATCGGCCTGAGCCATGTTTCCCCGCTCAAACGAGGCTGAAGAGCCCAACTATGGATGTCCAGTGAACGTGTCTCACCTGTTAAGGGTTACAGATCTGGAGAATTCTGAGGGTTTGGAGAGTGTCCTCGTATAACTTAATTGAGCAGATTTTTGTTGCACCAGTGGGTGGCCCAGGTATTGGATATGATTTGACAGCGAGAACATGAGCTCCACACATTGTGATCCGGAGACACATTGTGCACGACACATGGCGCAGGCAGGCTCACATGTATGCGGCCAACATGATTCAATCATCCTTGGCGACTGGGTTGCAAGCCGTCGGAAGCGGTTGGCCGCTGGGAACTGAGAGCAAATTCTGGAAACACTCTGGCAAGATAGACATCATAGATGCGAATTTTTGGGCAGCTTGAACATAGGTCCGTAAATGGCTCAGCAGTATATAAATGGCTCCTCTCTACCCCACTTCGGTTGCAAGTGGTTGGTGAGGTCATTTGTAACCATTGGTGAAGGGTCCTTCATTTGGGCCGCTTGGTTCTCGGTGACAGGGACATCCACCGCGTGTTCGAGCCACTAAGAATCGAGCTGACTGCGGCTCCAACGAGCCCCCCCCAACGCAGGTACCTAGTGGTTGCCCTGTCTGGAGACCTGTTTACGTAGTGTGGAGATAGCCATTCGTGACCCTTTGAAAGCAGCTAGAGACTCATCGGATCTGAAGAAGCACGGAGTTTTGGGGTCCCAAGACGCAGCGAGGATCACGTCGGCAAGATGGAGAGAGGGGAGGATCACGTCCCGAAGGATTCATGGTGATAAGAGATGGGGAGTATGGCGTGATCCGTCTTAGACAATCCAAGAACTGGAAACCGGAACACCGCCTGAAGTTCCACCAGCACCACGGACTTCAGGTGCTTTACAAGTGATATACACTCTGACGAACACATCACATGGAAGTGGATGGCATGGTCCCGAAAGGAAGACTACTTTCCTCTAGAAACAGGTGGCAACCACCACTTCCATGTGAAGTGTTTGTCCCAGTGTATAAATATACATACACTACACACCCCCTGACTGTATCACATCCCTTGACTCACAGAAAAGCCAGACACGACCGGGTTCCGGTGGAACCGACCGGCTCCCGACCGGCGAACGTGACCGGAGTCCCATTCCACCAAGCTAAAGAAGCCTGTTTGTGACCAAAACCACCAAGGGATCAAAAGGAGGTGGATATATAATGTATGATGGCAGTTGTTTCAAGTAGCCTTCATAATACCCTGATCATTGGGTGTTCGCGGGAGGCTTAAGTCTTTTTTAGGTGTGCTTTTCTTTCTCCAGCATGGGTGAGTCATGGTTTCTCCGCGTCACTTCCGAGGCATCTCTCTCACTTGATCCCAATTAGCCACGGCGGGGCACGGGCGCCCGTTTCGAAGCGCCACGGAAGGAGGGGCGAGAGCAGGCTTTGAGCACGGAAGGAGCGTCCCGGAGAAGCAAGGAGCGTTTCAATGATGGTTCGGTTAGCAAAGGGCTCGCAAGTCTCCACAAGTTCAACGAGAACCAGGAGTCACGTTCGTCGGGGTGGTGTGGCTCGTCCTATCCAGTGAATGGATGTTTTTCTGGGCACCCCTATCCCCCAAGTTCGGCACTCCGTCTTGTGACTCCTGGAAGAAAAGCTCCAACATGATGTTGTTGAGATGTGGTGAGTACGTCAATGCCACCGTGACTTCCAAGTACAGCTCACGGGAGCCCAGCTCAATCACGGGCTTGCAAACAGTCCGAATACCAAGAGTGCATGAACCCCTGGAACGATCCAGCACGGAAAAGTGGGTTCCATCCATGTTCCATCCATGCTGCGACTATGTGCGACTCGCAGGAATGAGGGAAGGTTTTGCCTTCAAAAGAGATAGCTTCAGTCAGTTTCGACAGTTGGTCATGTTGCACAGTCCCAGTGGCAGTTTTCAAGATGTCCAGATGTCAACCCTCGTCAAAGGCGAGCGGTGGCATATCTTTTTACCGTCCGGGCCCATCCCCAAGCAAAGGGGGTGAGCACTTTTGCAGAGCCCTGTCGGGGAGTGAAAGTTAATCGAAGAGACAAAGGACCAGTGGAAGCGAATGAGTTGGTTGGACCGGACTCCATCCAGAGCGACTCATGGTTTGCATGATTTGCTGCTGATATGGCGACACAGGATGACCCCTGATGGGGATCTCTTCACTCATGCTGAATGCGAACTCAGCCGGCGGAGTTCAGCCGTAGTTAGATCTTGAACCGCGCGAGCCAGCGGGCAGGTCTCACAGGTGTCTGGGAAAGAACCAGTTCCTGCTTTTCCCTTGTGCAGCGCAAGACCCGAACTCATCAAAAGTCCTGGTGAAAGAAAAAGGATTGCGGCATGTTGCAGCCATTCACTGAATACACTCCTACAAAAATACGATGGCCTGGGTTGTGACTGTCACTCACATGTCTACCGGTTCTACCTAACCTTTTGATCATCCCTCCCACGAGGGCTTCACCGCTCCAAGATACCTCTGCTGTAGCGTCCTTGCTCCTAGTAGCTTCCCGTAGTAATGCCAGGAGCTACGTTCGCAGCGTCCATTCGAAGGTACTTAGAGCCATTTGGAGCCCTAGGGTTCAGGTTGACGCTTCATGCTTCAGCACGGTGACCACCGAATCATGACGTCGCCGATTCACCGCATGTCCGAACGCCGGAATGGGTACGAGGTCGGTCTCCAAAACCTGACCCACCTGGAACCCCAAACAACCAGAAACAAATGGTTGTTCCAATATGGCAATTGAAATCCTTTAGTTGTCTGGGTTCCAGGTGCAACTGAAAACAGGTCCCAGACACGACTAATGGGGCCATAGATGCCTACATTGGAGTGGTGCCAGGGGGGTCTTTCTGGGGCGGCAGTCCTATGACAGACAGTCCCAGACAGGTCGTGTCTGGGGGTTTTCTGAGAGAGTCCATTTCGAGCCAACCGGCTCGCCGTCCCGCTCGCCGCGTCCACGCCCAGTCTCCGGCCCCTCTAAAACACTGCAAGACCGCGCCACGGTCAGTCGCAGGCAGCGCCTTGGCAGCTGCGACTGCGGCACTGGGCGCTGCGACCTTGGCGGCGAAGGCGCCATGGTCCACGTGAAAAGACGCGAAAAGAGATGCGGAGAGGTTTGTAGTGTAGACTCTTGATTAACAACCCCACAGAAGAACAGGATAGAATGCCAGTGAGTTTGTTCCTCAATTCCCCTGAAGACTAGAATTTGAAGTTTAGCGCCCAAAAAATCCACATCACATCTCGAGTAGGCAGGTACGGGGTTTACTTGGATGTTTACAGATCCAGCTGCCTTGAATCTATGACATGCCTTTTGGCTGGGAACTGATGTACGACTTGGTTTGGGTTGACCGGTTCATCCTTGGAAATTCTTCGAAAATCCTTCGAGGACGTAGCTCTTCAGGGAACCATCCATAGTTGACATCAGCCAAATCAGATCCAATCACGACATCTAAGGTTCACCTTCACCAATCATCACCAATCAAGGTATAAATTATATAATACATTATATGTATACATACACTAATCAACCATGGAAGTGGACCACCCCTGTTTCGCTGTTAACGTGTGTAGGAGGAAGATGCGTCTTTCCGGGGGACCATTTTCCACTTCCATGATGATTTCAGGGAGTGCACATGTCCGTCATGTTCTTGTCGCGTTTCACCATCATGGGTGGTGGACATTCTGGCTGCCACGGAGATGGAAAAGAGGTCTTGAGAACTTCTTTCCATTTTCCTTGTGATTGACGAGGCGTGCACCATGGTGCACTCACTGAAGATTCACATGGTAGGATCCATTTGACCGGCCGCAAGAATCGTGAGGGTCACTTCTCATACTCCCTCCAACCACCCATCGCCATTGAAAGACCACTTTCCTTTATAAAATATATAGACTGCTTTTTTACTTCCATGTTTTTGTTTGGGGGAAGGTCAATCACACGCGGGACTGGAGGACTCTCTCTCTCTCTCTACATTCATGTCTACATTCATCCACCACCCATTCCCGCAGGCGCGATTTTCGCGAAAAACACGCGTACGAGCGCGAGTGGCGGTCGGCGCCGCTGGATGCAAGCACCTTGGCTGGGCAAGGAAGCATGTATACGGGTAGATGGAACATAGACAATTGAAGTTGTAATGGATCGGGTTTGGCAAAGCATGCTCTTGATGGGCAGGAGCCAGTAAGACCGTAAGTTGGCAATTATCTGCCGGCAGTTGTGTTGTGACCAAACATGCTGAGTGTTTTAAGTTGTATAGTGACTATAGCAACTCGTCCATTCTGAAGCTCACTTCCCACACACCTGGCCCTTCACCCCACCCCGTGACCCATGCAGCATGGCATCGCCTGCCTCGTGCCGCCCCCCCTGCCGCCCGACGCGCCCTGCCCTGCCCAAGGCGCATCTTGGTCATGGGGGGCACCCGCTTCATCGGCTGCTATTTGGTCGCCAAGCTTCGGGCACTGGGCCACCAAGTGGCCCCTCAGGCTGAAGACCCAAGTGGCACCAGGGGACGTAGCTCGGAGAGCCCGCTGGCAGGGATAGATTGATTGGATGGATGGATCGATGAGTTAGATCGACAAGAGTTTATTGGATGTGTTGCATCTAACATGGCGATGGTTGAACACATGCTGCATATTAAGTTTATTGCATATTAATAGATATTTTTGAGGCACATTTCCATGCATGAGACTTTGGACGTCCATATTGCCATATTGTATTTCCATTTTCCTTGCCGAAGGATCCCCCGAGGATGGGATCATGACCACTGCTCCAGGGCCTCTTCTGGGGGCAAAAAGCCCTGAAAGACAAGGCCGTGAGTGGGATACATCGCCCAAGATGCCGGGGGAATGGTCCGGAATCGGTGGCTGCTATTAGGTCCCATTACAAGTCAAAGACCTCACTTTACTGGAGATGGTTATACAAAACCCAATATGTAAGGAGGTAAAAGACCTGGTATTCCTGGGTCTTTGGACTTGTAGGGTTCTGTTGAGGGCCAATGTTTGTTTTTGACTTGGGGTATTTCCAGCCAGTGGTGGGTCGTCGTTGTCAACGTTTCATGAGCCTCACCAAGCCTGCCACTCGCGAGATGGTGCGATGGAGCTTGCCGCGAGTCGAGGTCGTGTGCAACCGTGGCAAGACCAATGGCGGACTTCCTGAAGCTTAGCGTGTCGTATCCGTGTCATATCGACAATGGCTTGGCGAGACTGGCATTCCCCTCTACTAATCCAATAGGCTGACTTGTGCTTAGTAGGAAATGAGGGAAGGGATCCAAAGGCTTTCAAAGGAGTCTATTGTGAGCTCATGTCATTCCCTGATTCACTACAAAGCACCACCAGTCAGTAGGTGGTGAGGGCAGTGTATCGAGGGAAACGGAAAGTTGTGGCTTGGCTACCAAGGCGTCTATAGGCGGTACACTCCCCTTGGCGTGGTTGCCCTGCATGACAAGATACCTCGAATGACTTTTTAACATTTGCCGCAGCATGCTTCTGTTTGATTCATCACATGGTTGTGTCATGCTACTAGCTATGACGATGATTGAAGTGCGACATCGCAGACTGCCATTGATTGCCGGCGATGTGCTTCTCTTTTGAAAAAGCCGTATGCCGTATGTGGTCTAAGTCACGTGGACGGTGCAAAATACCACGACCCTCCCGACGAATCCCGATGGCTGTGGGTCATAGTAGCAGGGACCCTTGCCTTCCTGAAGTGGGTTTTCAGGGCCCATGGTCAGTCTTCAGGGCCAATGAATGTTGGAATCTGTAGAACATATCGAAGAAGCACGGGACGTTGTACATATCAATCGAACTGTTACATTGAACTACTGCACTGTAATGTTAACTAGTAATGCTGTCCCTAGACGGGCAACGAGTACCTCCTCAGCTTCGGTACGGCTGGACCCTCCTGACACCCATCTCGGTCCAAGCGAAACAATTTTGACGACTGGAGCCCCCCCAAAAGGGGTCTATATAGCAGGACCCTCCAAGGGGTGTCTATTTATAGCCCCTTCTATAGCTGTTAAGGGGTGTCCATAAACCACTCCTTTGTGACCTCCTGGTATATGTCACTTCCACAAAGGTCCCAACGCATAGTCCCGACGTCACTCAGGAGCGCCTTCCAGGCATTAGCGACGCGGAGTACCAGCAGATGTTGGAGGCAGCTCGGCCGAGCGAAGACGCCGAAGATACCGGTGGAGCGATGTTCCGGTCAGGGCGGTGAGACGGTCAGGGCATCCTCGCCGTGGGGGGTGGACCCGTGCGACGTTTGGGATGAAGATCCTGTTCCGGTGTGTCCCAGTCAATGTGCCTGCAATCAACCTCACCATCATCGTTACAGGCCATAGGGAGATGACGCTCTGGCGGTCGAGAACAGAGTGCAACAGGTCCCTTCGTTTTTGCAGGTTTTGGGGTAAGTGGTCAGTCCATACTCAAAGCTCAAAGACATCATTTTACTGGACAGTTGGTAATATAGCACTCAAAGAGGTTTGCAGGATCAGGTTTTACCGGACTTCATAGGGATACAGTCATATACCGTACCCAAGGGCTCCAGTCGTACCTCCTTAGGTTCGGGATGGCTGGAGCCTGGCACCCACCCCAGTCCCACCTTCTTAGAAGATCTTAGAAGGTATTTAGGAGCCCTATAGGAGATCTATAATGATCTGTATGGTGGGTCAAAACCCACTAATCCCTGGTAGGTTGACCTCCCTCCTAGTCCAGTCCTGGAGCCTTCGTCCGCTCCAGGGGGTCACCGTGCTCCGCGCGGATCGGAAGCAGCCGGAGGAGTTGAAGCGTGCCATCTCGGCAGTGGCTGGGTATAAAACGAAGAGCCCAAAGAGATGGGACGTGTTTTCCTTTTTTTTTGTGTGTGTGTGCGCTTTTTTGCTGTGTCTTGTTTTTGCGTTTGCTGGCGTTTTATTTTGTAATGTTTTCTCACATGAATGTGAACACCTGGATTCCCAACACAAGCTGCCAGTTTGGGGTGGTGCATGTTTTTTTTTTCCCTGGGGAGGTAGTTAAAGATTGTTTGTTGGGTTAACTGATTCCAGGGTTTTAACCTGCATTGACGGGTCACAGAGATTGATGGAATGACCCAGACATGGGATGTGGGACTGGCATGATTATAGTGGTGTTCAGAGTAGATGGAACAAACCCCAAGATGTTATATAGGTGTCCATCTAAACCACCAAACTTGGGGATTGTGCCATCTACTTCAAAACCACTGTAAGTTGATTTTTGATTGTCATCCCTCCAATCTTTGGGATTCTTCATGCTGCAGGTTTGGACACCCCACCAGAGGATCCCTGAAGGGATCCCTGAGGTTTGGACACCCGAGATTTTGTTTCAGAGACCTCAGGTTGTTACAGATTCTGGAATATCCGGATGAACACTGATACATCACTGATACATATATTATTACCATTGGCATTTTCAAAGGGGGAATCATCATGGAAGTGGTCTTCACCTCCTGTTAAATGGTTTTGGGAGTGTATTGTTTTGTATCTTGGGTCCTTGAGGTTCCATTTTCATTGCTGCAGGGCCGTCCAACCGTTGTCACGCCGAGTGAGTCAGCCCCCCCGCCAGTCCCATCGGTGACCGTCGCCGATTCCACGACCGGTCGACGTGGGTGATGTTCTCCCACCACACCTGGAAGGCCGGTAAGTTCGACGTGGTCTTCGACAACAACGCGCGGATCGCCTGGTTCGGTCTTCGAGTCGGCCCAGATGGGAACCATGCAAAAGAAGATGCTATATAGTGACTGTGGATGACTGTGGACATTGGTGAACTTCTGGAAAAATGTGCAAGATCGTGCAAGTCTAGGTGGTTGTTCATTGTGCATGCTGAGGCTGTCAAGGGGTGTGGTCTAGGATTGTATTGAAGTGATTTGACTTGGACCCACCAGAATATTGTTATATATATATAATTAAGTTTGCCTTTGGTTTTGCCAAGGGCCTTGGCACTTTGCCTTCGTGCTCTCACTCCATACAGTCTCAGTCTGATCCCTGAACCCTCCTTGAGCCTTGGCGACCCTAGAAGTTTGTTGAGCTTTGTGGTCCTTATACTTGGTACACTTGATGAGCTTGAAGAACTCTTTTGGGATCCATGCTGTACAGCTAGGCTAGGCTCTCCCAAAGACCTCGGCACGTTCGCCCACTGCTGCTTTCGAGGTCCGAAAGCTCGAAGAGATTCAACCGGTCGTCCGGGGCGTCAAGGCGGGAGGTTAGCGTTTGAAGCGGTGAGAGGGAGCGGTGGTGCAGGGGGTTCCATGGGTTTGGGGATGGTTTGGGGAGGTTGGAGGGTACAGGCTCAGGTGCCCAATCTGGTAGAGGCCTACCATGAGCATTGGACGGCAGCGGGGGTTGGTCCCCAAAGATTACCGCTTTTCGCGGAGATCATGGCTTTTCGGCTTCCAAGAAAGCTGGGATGTGGAGCCTCTCCGCGAAAGCCCAAAGCCACCCGCCTCCAAGAGCCCTCTCCATTGGTGCCTTGCTGACTTGCACGTTGGCCGCAGCCGGAAACCGACACCTCTCGCTTCTACATGCCGATGCACCGAAGAAAAGGTGGAACATCGAGATAAATGTATGCCGCCACCAGATGTTTGAGCCAATGAAAGGTCCAGGAAACAGCCACTTGATGGATGGCCACCATTGGGGCAGGCGCCTATTCAGCGGTTTGTTCCCCTGCAAGAGGTGGCTGCTTCATTCTCTCCATTCTTGGCATGAACTCTTGAACCGTCGAATTATGTGTTTGGCGGTATCGACCAGTCACATTCGTTCATGAAGGTGTCAGGGTCAAGACAGCTGGGTACTGTCGTGTACCGTGGCTTTTGAGTCCCGAGAAGTTGGCTGCAGGCAGGTGTGAAGGCCATGGCCGTGTTTGCCATGGCTATGATGTTATAGGCATGATGCAACATGACTCCAGAAGTTCTTAGTGGCCAAGTTGAGGCATTGGGTTTCAACTACTCTCTCAACTACTCTCAACTTGAAGAAGCTGGCGGGAATGGGACCCAGCCAGATCAGATCGCTTGGCTTCGCTTGCTGCTGCTTACTTCGTCCTCCGCCTCGAGGCCAAGGGCGGCTGCCAGCAGTTCATCATGATGAGCAGCGCCGGGGTCTACGGCCCCACCGCCCCTTGGAGCGAGCGCGGAAGCCGTGGACGTCGCCGTGGTGTCCGCGGTCGTGTCCGGCACAGAACTGTGAGCGGTTGGCGAAGTGGTTAGACCGTGTTGGGTCTCACAGCACACAACCAGAACTAGACCAGTTGACCTATTAAAAAAACAATATTATATATATATATACCTGGATCCTCCAAGGCGTGTCCAATGGACTACCCCACACTACCTATATCCATTGGGCACCCCTTGGAGGGTCCTGGATATATAATATATATGTATATATACATATGTTCACATGATCGAACATGATCGAACAGTGGAACGAGCATTCATTCCCAACATTTCCCAAGTGGCCTTTCTCAGAGGAGTCCAGGCCGCGGACGCCGCCCGCGCAGGCGTCCCTCGCGTCCGCTCCGAGGACGTGTTGCCGCTGAGCGAGGCCACCCCCGGCGACCCCAAGTCCCGCCACAAGGCGCGCACGAACTCGGCGCCCGTTTCGCCTCGGTGTTCGAAGTTCTTGGGGTGGGGGGAAGTGGGTTTCGGCCACGGTGGTAAGCGGGTTTCGACGTGGGTATGCGGGTTTGGGGAGGTGTTGTTGGAAGTGGCAGGGTGATGTTTTGCCAGATGCTCACCTGAAACAGGCGGACGCGTTTGACTCACGGCCATCTTTCAGCCCACAATCTAGCACCTGAACGAATTGACACCCATGAACTTTGGTGAGGACGGTTTTATGAGGTTTATGCATGTTTATGCTGTGTTTCGGGGGGCGCATGGTCGTCACGAACTGAGGCCACATGGTCCCAGCCTTGCCGTGCACATTTTCCTTTGCAAGTCGGTTGTCCTCTTACGCAGGGTCACTCTCATAAGACAAAGCCTGACGTGCACTTGGTGGGGGAGAAACATCCCCCCAACAAAGAAATTGCACAAATTCCTTCCCCAAGACAGTGTTCCCTCCTGTTTAGTTTTCCTCCTGTTTAGTGGAATTCAGGTGGTTGGCCTCCTCGTTTGCATGCTTCGGGTCGTTTTCGGACGACCGGGACTCCAGTGATTGGGACGGTTTTTTGCAGCTTCGGCACCACACCATTCTCGGGTTCCTCGGCACCACGCCAGGACAAGTTGGCATGCGAGAAGTTCCTCCAATCGGAAGGCTTGAACTGGACCTCGATTCGCCCTGCCCGGGCACCCAGGGCACCCACGAGGGGGCCACTGGGAGCAAAGACTGAAACATACTGAGACCTCTAGTAAGTATAGATCACCTAATAGGTATGGATCCCAAAGCAGACCTTAGCAAGTGGTGTTTGGACCTTTGACCGGGGTGGTCTTTTTGGACACCGTCACCTATTGGCACCTGGCCTCTCGCCGGTACAGCTGGTACGTCTCCTGGGCGCACTGCCAGTGCTACCTCAAGCATTCTTCAGCAACCCCCAGGAAGGCTGAAGAATGCTCAGCGGATTGTTGTTGTTGTTGTTGACTGTTATATGTTGTTGTTGTTGTTGTTGTTGTTGTTGTTGTTGTTGTTGTTGTTG